CTCTCTTGCTCTTTTTTTCGCTCACAGCATTTCATCTTGTGTGGACACTCGAATTGCAAACAGCGACAATAACGTTTGTTTGATCATCATGCTGCCGAACACTATAATGCCCTTTGAGAATTTTCGCAAATTACATAAATCAGAAGAGAAAGAAAAACTTCTTCATTATACGGTTATGATTGAGTGTTTGTCAACGTTACCGATTGATCTCGTAAACGTGAATACTTATGAAAACACCCTTGATATACATATATGTTCTAGTGAAGATATCGCTCGGAGCTATCGTAAAATATACCAGAAGATTTTCAGAATAAATTTGGCAAGGTAGTCAAAAGGACGAGGACGGGATTTCTACTTGAAGTCGATGGTTAGTAACGAATGAGTCGAAAGTTGTGAGGCAAAATAGTCTTGTTACTTTTTGATGCACTGAAAAGTTTCCCGGGTCAATGGAAAGCAGTAGATTATAACCAGGATTTTGTACTATTTTCAAGTATGAGCTCATAACAGTTGTATTTAGTTTTATTGGTTTCTATCAGAGATGAGATCGGTTGACCGTTTAACCGAACCGACCGACCGACCGAAGCCGAAATCGGTTCGGTTGGAGACTTTTCAAAAACTCGGTCGGTTAGGTTGATGAGAATCTGCACATGCATTGGAAACCGAGTTATATACTCAACAAGGATCGGATAAATCAACAAATTCAGACGAATCTCTTCATGAAGAATATAATCCTTTATCTTTCTGGAAAAAATGCATAGTACTTATCCTCCTCTTTCGAAAGTCGCTGCTCGTATTTTTTCTGTACCAGCTTCAAGTGTGGCTATTGAAAGAGAATTTAGTCTTGCTGGCAATTTAATTACACAAAAACGTGCAAAATTATCACCGGATGTCGTCAACGATATAGTATTTAATCATTCATTCAAGGTGCATCAACAAGGACTTGATAATACAGATTCAGATACGCTTGAATTACGTTAATGTGTTGTTATTTTTATTTTTTTCAAAGGATTGTACACATATTATTTTTTACTTAATGAAAATAAAATATAACGGTATGCGTATAGTAAAATATTGACTTATGAAGTACCACTACCTTAATTAACAGAACCTAAACATCGTTTTTCTTTCATTCATTTCACTTTTTTTGGATTGACAATTTTTCGAAATTCGGTCGGTTACGATCGGTTCGGTTGACGAAAAAGGCTAACCGATCCCATCTCTGGTTTCTATGCCATATTCTGTTAACACCAAAACGTTCGTTTCAATATCCTCATCATTGTTTTGACAAATCGCATTTTTGCGATTCAAGCGGAAATAGTCTCTAATAAAATACTTATAATTTAACTTGAATACAAGCTATATTTAAAGTCAGCGTGGCATTTTGTACGCAACAGTCTGCTCTACCAGATTTTAATGTGTTCAACAATTTAAAAACGATTTTATGAAATTAACAGTGACCTGCTTTCTCCTTCCACAACCTAATTTTTCAAAAAACATGAATAAATCCTCTCAAAATTCTAGCGCAACAACATATGCATGAGATCTCTAAGCCCATATTTTCAACAAAGTTCAATAGACCACTGGCCATTCGCATTTCTGTGAATATATATATAACTTGATGATGTAATTTTCCAATAGTTCTTTGTGTCGGTCGTCATAAGGGAGAGAGAACACATACACCCTTTTCTCTCTTTCTTTTTTGAATATAACATTTTTATTCTTCTCGTTACTTCTTTCTTCAAAAACTGTTAAACT